TTAAAAATTTTTTTGTAACTCAGCTTTCTGATCAAAACTTTTTAGAAAAAGAAACACCTTGAAGGTGATAAAAGGTATCATTCCTAACATAACTATCTTGCTTGCTTAAAATCCCAAACTCCTATTATAATAACTATGTACGATGGCAGATGGGTACTAGATTTATCAGGATGATCGCTTCGTAAGTTATATAAATGTCTAATCACTATGTCGTATACTCGAACTTAATATAATATTGTATGTCAACTATAATTGAAAAAATTTTAAAAAATCAATAAGAAATCCAAAAGAACAAAAATCCCAGAACTTTTAAGTACTTCCCTAAGTTTAGTTATTCCTACTCGAAGATCTGAGAATAAGTGAGAAAGCCAGGAGCCTGTGACATACCTGAAACTTCACTCTAATCTTGTGAAAGAATCAGGTAGTAGAAATTAACCAGATTATTATTTTCTGATATGTCTTCAAATCCTTTTACTAAATCACTTTAATCCCAGCAGCACAGACAAAAATGATAGACAACAACAACAAATTGATAGGCACTATATTAACTGCTTAATGTATTCCACCAGCTATTTATTTCACACATATAACAATAAGGTCTCATTATTATTATCCCAACTTTACTGATGAGGAAACTGACACTCAAGATTAAGAAAGATTCCTAAGGTCGTATAGCTAATACTATATTTAATACTTTTCTATGACTTAGGAAAGAATTTATGCATTCGTTGGTAATTTGCTTGATATACTCAAAACCAGTAGTAGAAAGTTTTTATATACATTTTGCCAGGTTGTGTTGGGTCATTTTCTTTACTAAACACCCTGTGAAAGAATAGGTTATTTCTTCATATATTTGGTAAGAAATTTCTCTTGATTTTAAATTATTTCCTTTTATACTAACTTCTCCATGTCTGCATAGTATACTTATTATGAAATTGATTTTCTCATGGCTTTAAAAACCAGAGACAATTTGATTAACATTTAGGGACTAAAAATGTTGTCTTAAACTTTCTCATATTATGCTAGTATTTTAAAACCAGAAATTAAAAGCATTTTCTTAAAGAAATTTTATTTATAGCTATAAGTTTCAGTTCCATATCTATAGATATTATTCATGTTGAACTTTTACAAAATAAAAACTTAAAAACTAAATAAAATAAAATGAGAACTCTTGGTTTGGGATATAAGCTAACTATTTCTCTGTCAATATGGTCCAATAACAACTACTGCTGCTATGAATACAATTGCTATGATTATTCCTCTTGTTGCCATAATTATTTGTTGAGTTTCTATTATTTCCACTCACCATACTAGGTACTAACATATAAGACATTAATCTTTAAAACAACCTTGTGAAGCAGATATTACTGTCCCTATTTTACAGGTAAGTAAGCTGAGGCAAAGAGAATTTAAAAAACTCCTCCCATAGCACAGATAGTGTTAGTTAGTGGCAGAGATCAGATATGAACCCAACTTCAAGTCCTGCTGTCTTTCATTACACCAATCTGCCTCTCCTCACTCATTTATAGACACATGTGAAATAATAGTCCAATTTGCTTACCCAGAATCAAAGAGAAATGCTGAGCTGTATATTTGAGTGCTTTTGGTGTAACAGCATAGACTTCCAAACACATGTTATGGTTTTCTACCTTTGTGTTTACACTTTATGTGCTGCCTTCTTAACTCTTTTCTGCTATTCAGGTCCTAGCCATCTGATAACGCTCAGGACATACCTTTATTGAGGTGGCAATAGATAAATACTAGCCAGGTGAATGCTTCTCTTATGAAGCCTTCCCAGATTCCATCTATGCACGTGATCCCTTATGTGAGCTTCGATAGGGGAATGGAAAGGAGGAACCAATGGATCAGGCAACCAGCTTAGCACACAGATGGAGGGAGCGAACATAGTTTATTCCAGCTCCATGGGTTCACTGAAGCTTGTTAAGAAAAGGAACGACATCCACTTCTGATGATTAAAAGCACTGATCCCATTAGCATTGCTTTAGTTCTATAATTTTGTAAAACAGGAAAGGAGAAAAAAATCTAGACAAGAAGCAAAGGTTGACTCAATAAAATTAGAGGATTTATTTTAAAATTAAGGTGTGACCTTGTTCTCTGTTGGGTGGCTACTTAACTTTTTACATTGCTGCACAAGAATGGCCCTCTCTCACACACAGAAGTTTCCCACCCAGAAAGCTGATATACCAGCTGACTGGCCGTAGAGTCTAGGAGAGGAACTATCATATGACTTGACTGAGAATTGGTAAGCAGCTAGGCTATCTCTGGGAGACTGGGTCTTCACACTGAAAATCCTCTGAATTCATAAGGTGGGATGACATAAACTAACCACTCCTGTTACTTTCCTTTTATAATTTCTTCACAGTTTATATTTCTTTTTCTTCTCTCTCTCTTTTTCTCTTTGAAGAACCCAAGACTGTCCAATGAGAAAGCAAATAGGCCTCAAATAAAGAGTTGTTCTGGGAAATTGGGCATTTTGAGACTAGCTAAACTAGATAAGAATTCATTCTTTGGCTTGGCTGGCTGGCTGGGAAATGAATAGATTAGAGATGGTGGAAGATGGATTGGAGAGTAAGAAAGTACAGTACAGTGGAAAAGTGAACTTGGAATTAACATACTTGGATTCATTTCTGGCTTTGCTACTTACTGTGTGTGACTAGGTCTTTTCCCTTATTAGTAGAACAAGAAAATCTGACTATTTGATCCCTGAAGTATTTTCTGGTTTAAAAAACTTTTATTATTAGAATAGAAGAGGATAATTGAAGTTAAGCAATGCTTGGGTAAGGCTCCAGACCTTCTCTAACTTATGTTGGTTTGCAGAAAGCTGGAGGAAATCCTGCTTCTTCCAAAATTTTCCTAGTTTCAGAAGGCATCATGGAGCCTCATGAGGAAGGGTCTCTGATGTCAGGTAGCAGCTGAGGGGAGGTGGGGGAGGGTGGCTTTCCCATTACTTAGTTTTCCTTTCCCTCTTTGTCCTGGCTTAAATAGATTTTCTGTCTCAGTGATAACTACCCCCTCATGTAACCGCCCTCTCCTCTATCTACTTGGCATTTCTCTATTTTCTTTCCTACTTTCAGACACCCACACTTTCCATTATTGGTTCTGAGCTAGGTCTAGTTTATCCCAGTGGGATGCTTTGCCCTGGTTCCAGGGAATGGAGAGTTCTGCTGCTTTGTCAGAGGTGATGGAGGTGCACTGGAGTGGAGAGGGCGCTGGGGGTCTTCAAAACTATACAGTTGCCTGGACTGTTAGACAAATTAAATGAGAGTGCATAATGAAGAGAAGACTAATGGAAGCAGATCTTCTCTGAAAAGACTTTTTCCAACAACACTACTAATAACCGACAATGATTATACTCATGCAGGCACTGTGCAGAGCACTTGGCATATAGAGGCTCGGAGGTTAATAACTTACAGAGGACATAGTTCATAAATGGCCAAAGCAGGACTTAAATCCAGCTACATCATTAGACCCTGTGCGTTCTCAACCACTGAACAAAATGATCTCCAAGCGTGGTGAGCAAATGTCTGATCACCTCCTGAAGGTTTAGAATGAGAGAATGGTTACAGAAAGGAGTTAAAGTGTCCAAAGTCACTTCCTGTCAGTGAAAAGTGCTTAGATTCTGGCATGAAGAAGATGGAAAGGCAAAAGGATTCAGAGCACACTCTTAAAGTGTGCTCTCTGTACCAGCATATCATACCACCTGGAAGCTTGTTCGAAATGCAAATTCTTGGCCCTCACCCCAGACCTACATTATCAGAAACTAGGGGTGGTTTTGCAATCAGTCTGAACAAGTTCTTGAGGGAATGCTAGTGGTCCCTAATGTCTGAGAACACTGTTTTAGAAGAACGGCCTGCCTTCCCCACTCCACTCCATACCTAGGAGCAGATAGATTTCTGTTGTGAAGGTTTTGTAACAGGAGCTTGAGGAACTGAACAAGGGGTGACTGTGACCTTGGGCAGGCTGGGCAGGAGGTAGAACACCCGGCCTTGGCTTTAGGGGACAGGGGAGAATGGCATACCTCCTATGACTGTGTTCTCCACATGTTCTCCACACGTGTATGGGGAAGGCCCTATTCTTCTTCTCCACTTGTGTAGGAGCTGACTTATTTCCCATGGCTGGTGTCTCTGGGGTCCTGTGTGTGCCTTTTTGTTCAATGGCCCCCTCTACCCTACTAGATGAAATGACTGCAACGGTTGTCCTTGGTTGAAAACTGGCCCCTGTACACTGGAGAGCAGGGAGAAACTGAAAGAGACAGATTACCCCAGATCAGTAGGTAGCAATTTAGAAAGCAAATGAACTGACCTAGGAGGCTTGTCTCAGGTGCTGCTGCTGGAGGAATAAACTCCTTCCCATCCCAACCCCCACCTCCACCCCCACGCCTTCCCCCACCC